CAGGACGCACCAACCACCCAGCTCCAGAGCACGTTCCCTGTCCAGCCAGGTGCCTCGTAGGATGCGCACCTGCGAACTGTCACAGCCCAACTGCAGGGAGACCCCAGATCGCTAGATCCCCGCAGGGCCGGGAACATATGACATGGGAAGAGCTTATTGCCCGGGGGAAGCAGCATGGTCTTACAGAGAGAGGCCAAGTCCACTTGGTGAGGAGCCCTCAACCTCAAGTTCACATGCAGTTATTTGCAACTTCATGTGAACTTCGATTTCCTCATGTACAAAATGGGTGTATTCTCAGCCTGCAAAGCCATGGTAAAGGTTAAAAAAAGTATTCAGTAACGTATGCAAAATGCCCAGCAGAGGGCCCAGGCTGCAACAGACACACTATACATGGCAGCTGTAATTATTTTTTAAATTTATGTCACTTAGAATGCTCCTGCAATACACCACATACCCCAATAAGCTATGTTTGAGCAGATGGAACTTAACACTCTATCCTCCAACTCCAGGCTGATTGTTTTATTCAGGTTGCCCCACCCAAACCCCATGGTCAGTATTTCTGGATCTGCTCCATAAGATGCTAATTTCTCCCATAGAACTCTTCTTCCTTCAAATACCATCTCCTCCAGGGAGCCTTCCCTGACTCCCACAACTCTCTGCACTTACCTCCCACATCACCCATAACTCAAGTTGTCCCTCAGTATCCCTGGGGGATTGGTTCCAGGACTTTCCCGAAGTTACCAAACTCCACGGATGCTCAAGTCTCTCATGTAAAATGGCGTAGCATTTGCATGTGACCAACACATGTCCTCCCATATACTTTAAACCAGTTCTAGATTATGTCTAATACCTAACACAATGCAAATTATAATAAATACAATGCAAATGCTATGTGAATAGTTGCCTGGGGACCTCAAATTCAAATTTTGCTATTTGGAACTTTCTGGAATTTTTTTCTCGATTATTTTCCATCTGAGCTGGTTGAATCCATGAATATAGAACCTGAGGATGAGGTGGGGAGGGTATAGCTCAGTGGTAGAGTGTGTGCTTAGTATGTACAAGGTCCTGGGTTCGATCTCCAGTACCCTCATTAGATAAATAAACCTAATTATCTGTCCCTCTCGCCCAAAAAAAGAACCCGTAGATACAAAGGGCCAACTGTAAGCTGTCTACACCTCTCCCCTGCTGGACTCTTGAGCTGGAAGAGCCAGCACATAGGTGCATGTTTCTTTCACCCTGGGTCCCAGCACTCAGCACAGAGAAGGGGGTACATGAATAAATAATTTGTGGAAAGCAAAACATCCCTCCTGCGCTGCAGGGACGCAAAACCAACAGAGGGCTGAAGAGTGGAGATGCCAACAGATGTGCAAACATCGCCTGGTGCTCGGAGGAAAATCTGTCCACTGGAGGCAAATGTTTTATTCCCTACATGTTTAGTTCTCCTTTCTCCCCATTCCCTAACCTCTCTCAGCCATCTGCCTCTTATCCCAACTTTACAACATGAAATGACAACAGGAAATCTCTCTTATGCATTTTTTAATTTCTCTGTTATTCGGTTTTCTACTTTGGTACACGTGAGCTGCAGCTGTATTTCACACAGAAGCTGACATGTCTCATTGTGACACACCCCATAAAACAGAGCATGTATAAATCACCTGGCATGGTTTTGCTTCACCTGGTTGCTATTGCTAAAAAAAACCTACTATTTCTAAGAGCACAAAAGAGAACATTTCTTGAATCTACAGATGCATGAGGACAAGGTGTACAGCCCTATCTGCCAGGATGGGAGAGAGAGACCAAAGCTACAGGCCCCCGGGTAGCTGGCTGTCTGCAGAGACATGAAAGACACAGACGGAGAAGCCACACAGAAACTCCAGAGAGACCAGGGCACCTGGGGAAACAGCCCAGAACTACAGCCCATTTGTCAGACCCCTCTGGCCTTCTCCGCCCTAAAAGGTTCTGAAACAAAGGACAAGATGGCATGATACCCTGGTTGGCAATATCTACTCTTTGGCCTTGATCACCACATGGGTATGTTTTATCCTGGGGCCCCTGACAGCCCCTCTCCTGGGCAGGAGAACCAGCCAGCCCCCAGTGTCCCCAGCGTCCTCAACGAACCCCACGGCAAGACCCAAGCAGGCTCTAAAATGTCTTGCCCTCAAAGGCCTGGAGATTGAAGGCAGTATCTAGAAACTTCTTCAGAGACACCAGGTGAGTATTCCTGTTTCCCGTGGCTGGTGCCGCCGCTGGGTCTCGGCCAACATACCTGAGGGAGAAGAGGTAAGCTAAGGGGTGGGGTGGGGGGGTCTGGGCCTGGCCTCACTGCTACCCCAGGATGGTGTGGGGCCTAACCCTGATCATCCTGATGCAGAAATGAAGAGCCCGAGGTTCCAAGGGACTAAGTCACCGGCCTAAGATCAAAGGCAGGAGATCTGAGACATGCAGGAGGTTTTCTAGTTCAGTTCCGGCTGCAGAACGAACACAGAGGTTTACTCTCTGTGAGGTGGAATTGAAGAGGATCCCTGATGGGGAAGCCACTTTGTCCCCGATGATCGCAGTGCTAGCGGGGACTATGGGGTCTGACTCCTCGGTTTCCAAGGCAGCCCAGAGAAGGGCAGTGGACAGTTCTGGGTCGCACAGCAGATGGGGAGGGCAGGGCCAGAATGGGGTCTCAAGCTCACAGGGCCCCTCGGGCAGACGCCAGGGTAGGTGGCAGGCCCCCCGGCACCCAGCGCTGTACCATATGGGCCGCGCCCGGCCCAGGATGGTCATGAAGCGCGGGCTGATGTAGTCGTAGTAGCCCATGTTCTTGTGCTCCTCCTGGCACCACACCAGCTCCGCGCCCGCGTACTTCTCCGCCTCTCGCTTGATCAGGTCGAAGGGGAACGGGGAGATCTGGGGCAGCCAGGGAGAAAGGAGAGCGCAGTCAGGGAAGGGGTCAGGCCCCCTGGAGAACAGCCACAGCTGCCCTCATCGGCCCCAGCCCGGGCGCACTGCCCAGAGCCGGGCGGCTGGCGATGTGGCCTCGCCCGTCACTCTGAGCGGGTGCGGGGCTCGAGTATACCTGCTCCAGGCGCGTGACGGCCACCTGCTCGTCCAGGCCCTGGCCGCTCCGCTCCTTCAGCAGGTCGTAGTACACCTTTCCCGTGCAGAAGATGAGCCGCCGCACCTGCTCAGGAGCCCGCGCCGCTGCCCCATCCTCAGGAATCACCCGCTGGAAGCTGGTCCCTGGGGGACAGCAGGGCATGGCAGGGGCATCGGCTCCCAGAGGGGCCAGGGTGGCTGGGGAATCAAGCCCCTGTCCCTGGCACCTCCAGGCTCTCTCTGGCCACTGAGACAAGCCCCAGACCTAGATCTGCAGCTGCAATAGGAACATCTTGAACCAAACAACGGAGCAGGGGACAGAGGACACCCTGAGATGTCACAGGCGAGGGGTGTAGACAGCAGCTGTAGCCTGGGTCTTGGGAGCATCAAGGTCTAGGGTGATGGGTAGAATGAGGGGAAATGACAGGGAGAGGCCCTGGAGGGGACAGAGAAGGTGATGTCACCTCCCCATCAGACAGCATCACTGTCTGTCCCAAACCTGCTCCCAGGCCTGCTCATCTCCTGGGCACTCTCAATCAGCCCAACCAGCAAGCTGGAAGGCAAACCCTGCACATTCCTTCCTCCCTCAGCCCCAAAGCCAAGTCCCCATCTCCACATTCCACTCCCTTTCCTTCCTGAGCTCATGCTATGCGCTAGGCGCCAGACTACACACATTACAAAAACCTCTGAGGAAGCCACCATAGGGTCCCTGCATCCCAGGTGAGGACCCCGAGGCAACGAGGATAACTGGCTACCAGGCTGCACCAGCACCAGGTGCTCAGCCCGGGTGGTCCAGCCCCAACGCCACAGCTCTGAACTGCTGGCTCAGCCACCTGCCACACCTGAGGGGATGCCCACACACACAGGTGAAGATGAGCCCCTGACTATGCTGCTGAGGTCCGCCTGGCCAGCCCCTGCCCCTCCCCCTACTACCCAGAACCGTTTTCCCAGACAGCTCTGCTCTGCCAAGTCTCAAGGCGCCACACCTGCCCCTTCCTGACCCTCCACTGGGTCACATTTAATTCCAAGACCTGGTCCTTCCAGTGTTTATCTGACCTCCAACTCCCAGATCAATGAGGCTGAGAGCTATTGGAGAGGGTGCTGGGTTGCCAGGGCCAGTGATGTCTGTTTGGCTCACAAGTGAAGACAATGGATGAATGACGGATACTCAGCGTCCCACGAACCAGGCAGACCTCCACCAGCCTCCTGCCGCAAAGCTCTTCCAGTGTGGCCAGGCTGGCCCTGCTGCGAGGCTTGGCGGGGGCCCGGTGCACTCCTCTGGCCTTGGTGCTTAGCCCAAGTGACCCAAGCAGGCCCAGCGACCTGGCCGCTGCACCAACCTCCCAACCCACTTGCTGGTGGGGACCATGCCAGGAGCTGCTGCAGGGCCGGCAGAGCCACAGACAGATGAGGATGGAAGAGCCCCAGGAGCAGAGGTCACACCATGGGCCACCAGGCCTCCCCATCACCAGGCCCCCCTAACATGACCAGGCACTTACCAGATACCATTTGGTCAAAGCTGGACTTGGCCTCTGGGTGTCTCAGCAGAGATTTGGGTGTAAAGATGATCAGCTAGAAGGGAAACATGCCCAGCTGGCAGCTGCCTGCCGCGCCTGGCCGGGGCTCCCTGCCCTTGGCCCCTGCGCTGTTACAGTGACGGCCGAGGCAGGCGGCTCACCGGCTTGCGGAAGGGCAGGAGGATCTGGCGACGCAGCAC